CTGCTTCTCAGCGGATAGGAATCTTTTGGCTTTGCCTTATTATTGTCTGCTTTTCAGCAGAAATGCGATTGCTCTATTTGCTGCTGGCAACATTGTTGCCCATTGCTGCTGCTGGCAACATTGTTGCCCATTGCTGCTGCTGCTGCTGCTGCTGGCAACTGTAGTTGCCCATCCTAACATGCTCATTGTTTATTAGGGCAGCCCACAGATCAGCCTCACCTCTGACCTTGAACCCAATATTCTCTTCTTGTTATCTTTTAATGCTTTCCTTCTCAAGGCATATATAAGTATCTTCTTGCTAAAGGATGTGTTTCAATAATGCAGAAAGTTGTTTGCTACTTTTGTTTATCTGCATGGCTCTGGATTCTTCCTTCAAGAACGGCAAAAAAATTATGTGAACAAAACCTTCGTCCTTTGAAAATGAGACTATGCGGTTACATGATGTTTCAGCTGGGAACTTCACCCTGTTCGTCCCAGACAACACGGCCTTCCATGGTCTGTCTAGAAACATCACAGGAAACAAGACCCTGCTGACTCAGCTCATCCTCTTCCACTCCGTCAATGGAACATACAACAGATCCGAATTGATCCGAAACAAGAAACTAAGGACGCTGTCTGGACGATTCCTGTACTTTAACCACTCTAAGACCAAGGTAAACAAGAAGGTCAGATAATATAGTGTAGATTACAGTATTTTAATCACACTAAGACCAAGGTAAACAAGAAGGACAGATAATATAGTGTAGATTACAGTACTATAATCACACTAAGACCAAGGCAAACAAGAAGGACAGATAATATAGTGTAGATTACAGTATTATGATCACACTAAGACCAAGGTAAACAAGGACAGATAATATAGTGTAGATTACAGTATTATAATGACACTAAGACCAAGGTAAACAAGAAGGACAGATAATATAGTGTAGATCACAGTATTATAATGACACTAAGACCAAGGTAAACAAGAAGGACAGATAATATAAGTGTAGATTACAGTATTATAATCACACTAAGACCAAGGTAAACAAGAAGGACAGATAATATAGTGTAGATTACAGTATTATAATCACACTAAGACCAAGGTAAACAAGAAGGACAGATAATATAGTGTAGATTACAGTATTATAATCACACTAACACCAAGGTAAACAAGAAGGACAGATAATATAGTGTAGATTACAGTATTATAATCACACTAAGACCAAGGTAAACAAGGACAGATAATATAGTGTAGATTACAGTATTATAATGACACTAAGACCAAGGTAAACAAGAAGGACAGATAATATAGTGTAGATCACAGTATTATAATCACACTAAGACCAAGGTAAACAACAAGGACAGATAATATAGTGTAGATTACAGTATTATAATCACACTAAGACCAAGGTAAACAAGAAGGACAGATAATATAGTGTAGATTACAGTATTATAATCACACTGAGACCAAGGTAAACAAGAAGGACAGATAATATAGTATAGGTTCCTGTATTATAATCACACTAAGACCAAGGTAAACAAGAAGGACAGATAATATAGTATAGGTTCCAGTATTATAATCACACTAAGACCAAGGTAAACAAGAAGGACAGATAATATAGTATAGGTTCCTGTATTATAATCACACTAAGACCAAGGTAAACAAGAAGGACAGATAATATAGTGTAGGTTCCTGTATTATAATCACACTAAGACCAAGGTAAACAAGAAGGACAGATAATATAGTATATGTTCCTGTATTATAATCACACTAAGACCAAGGTAAACAAGAAGGACAGATAATATAGTGTAGAGTACAGTATTATAATCACAGTAAGACCAAGGTAAACAAGAAGGACAGATAATATAGTGTAGATTACAGTACTTTAATGATAATTGGACCTCACTAAACAAGAAGTACAGCTGTGCTGTGGTTGATTCCTGTATTTCAATGACAAGATGACAAGATCAAGGGACACAACAACTCCGTCACACTGCCGTGTAGATTCTTGAACGTGAATGACTAAAACTAAGGTAAACAAAGAGAAGGTATATGCTAGGTGGTACAAACCCCTGACAAGTCAGGGTGTATGGGAAGGTTTGTGGTAGATAGAACATGCATTTTACAGTTCAGGGTGTATGGGAAGGTATGTACTAGGTATGTTCTGACAGAAATTATATATAATATACAGCGTATTTGGAGTAGGTTTCGATCTTGGTGATGCTGATTTAGCACCCCGTGAGTCTGGTCTGTTTTCTCTTAATGCAGGCAGTTTTCGTGAACGGTATCAAGATTAGTGGATTCAACAAGAAAGCCTCCAACGGCTTCATCTTCCTTGTGAGCAAGGTCGTGCTACAGGGGTCAGGGCTGCTGAACAAAACCACCAACAAAACGTCTGGACAACACCGCCGTCAAACATATGTCCAGTGTCGTAATGGAACTTGGGGTAGAAACTGTTCTCACCTTGGTAACGGTACCTATGGCAACTTAGGATATACCGCCAACACTGTCAATCACCCAATCAAGCATGCCAATGGCTCAATATGTATTAACGGGACCTACGGCAGAAACTGCACACACCATGGCAACGGTACCCATGGAAACTTCACATATAACGCCAACAATGTCAATCATCTCATCCAGCTTGCCAATGGCTCAATATGCATTAACGGGACTTACAGAAGAAACTGTACCCACCATGGCAACGGTACCCATGGAAACTTCACCAGTCACCCAATCCAGCATGGCAATGGCTCAATATGCATTAACGGGACGTACGGCAGAAACTGCACACACCATGGCAACGGTACCCATGGCAACTTCACATATAACGCCAACACTGTCAATCACCCAATCAAGAATGCCAATGGCTCAATATGCATTAACGGGACTTACCGAAGAAACTGTACCCACCATGGCAACGGTACCCATGGAAACTTCACATATAACGACAACACTGTCAATCATCTCAACCAGCTTGCCAATGGCTCAATATGCATTAACGGGACTTACTGAAGAAACTGTACCCACCATGGCAACGGTACCCATGGAAACTTCACCAGTCACCCAATCCAGCATGGTAATGGCTCAATATGCATTAACGGGACCTACGGCAGAAACTGCACACACAACGGCGGTACCCATGGCACTTCACATATAACGCCAACACTGTCAATCACCCAATCAAGAATGCCAATAGCTCAATATGCATTAACGGGACTTACCGAAGAAACTGTACCCACCATGGCAACGGTACCCATGGCAACTTCACATATAACGCCAACAATGTCAATCATCTCATCCAGCTTGCCAATGGCTCAATATGCATTAACGGGACTTACGGAAGAAACTGTACCCAACATGGCAACGGTACCCATGGAAACTTCACATATAACGACAACACTGTCAATCATCTCATCCAGCTTGCCAATGGCTCAATATGCACTAACGGGACTTACGGAAGAAACTGTACCCACCATGGCAACGGTACCCATGGAAACTTCACCAGTCACCCAATCCAGCATGGCAATGGCTCAATATGCATTAACGGGACCTACGGCAGAAACTGCACACACCATGGCAACGGTACCTATGGCAACTTCACATATAACGCCAACACTGTCAATCATCTCATCCAGCTTGCCAACGGCTCAATATGCACTAACGGGACTTACGGAAGAATGGACTGTACCAGCTTGGCAAATGGCTCAATATGCATTATTAACGGGGCATACGATAGAAACACCATGGCAACGGTACCCATGGAAACTTCACCAATCACCCAGTCCACCAAGCCAATACCTCAAAATGCATTAACGGGACATACGGTAGAAACTGTACCCACCATGGCAACGGTACCCATGGAAACTTCACATATAACGCCAACAGTGTCAATCATCTCATCCAGCTTGCCAATGGCTCAATATGCATTAACGGGACTTACGGTAGAAACTGTACCCACCATGGCAACGGTACCCATGGAAACTTCACCAATCACCCAATCCAGCATGGCAATGGCTCAAAATGCATTAACGGGACCTACGGTAGAAACTGTACCCACCAAGGCAACGGTACCTATGGCAACTTCACATATAACGCCAACACTGTCAATCACCCAATCAAGCATGCCAATTGCTCAATATGCATTAACGGGATTTACCGAAGAAACTGTACACACCATGGCAACGGTACCAATGGAAACTTCACATATAACGCAAACACTGCCAATCATCTCAACCAGCTTGCCAATGGCTCAATATGCATTAACGGGACTTACAGAAGAAACTGTACCCACCATGGCAACAGTACCCATGGAAACTTCACCAATCACCAAATCCAGCATGGCAATAGCTCAATATGCATTAATGGGACCTACGGGAGAAACTGCACTCACCATGGCAACGGTACCAATGGAAACTTCACATATAACGCCAACACTGTCAATCATCTCATCCAGCATGCCAATTGCTCAATATGCATCAACGGAACCTTGGGTGTCAACTGCACTCGCAATGGCAACGGAACCCATGGCAACAGCACATTTTGCCCCAACAGAACCTGGGATGTTGACTGTTCTCACCATGGCAACGGCTCAATTTGACACAACGGGACCTTTGGCGTCAACTGCACTTACCATGGCAACGGCACAATCTGCCCCAACGGAACCTTGGGTGTCAACTGCACTATGAATGGCAACGGTACTCATGGCAATATGACGCATGGCAGTATAGCACACGTTTTAAGTCAGAGCTATGGTCAGTACAGCACCTTGATTGCGGACTTGATGAAAACTGGAACCTGGAGCGAGATCGAGAGTAAGTAACACATTTACTTCTTGAAGACAGAATGTCAGTCTTTTTTCTGATTTGTTTCTAACGTGTTCATTAGTATAAGCCACGGTAATACAACAATTCAGTCAATGATTGAACTGAAACATGAACTTGCCTTTGGGGCCAAACACGCATTGGTGAACATGTCTCTTCCGTGAATACACAATGCCTATAATCTCTTCCTGTAGGACCCCAAGTGACCCTTCTTGCGCCGACCAATGCAGCGTTCAGCAGCCTCCCGACGGCCTACCGAAACAACCTTGACAAGCAGGCCAATTTTCTGAAGAGTATGTACACCTCTTTGTTTCATATTCCACAAAATATTCACACGTTACTTGACACTATCTGGGTATTTTTTAATTTGTATTTACATACACAAATAGATCAGCTATATAAAATGACCATATCACACACAGTGTTGCAAGTTTGGGTGTGTGTTTTTCAGGCACAATGATGTACCACATCTTGGACGGCATCCACAGCCCCGATTCTCTGCATCAGAACGACATGCTCACCTCTCTGGAGGGACACCGCATCCACGTCTCCATGCAGAACGGTGAGACACATATCATCAGAGACTAAATGAGTCAGACAGAGCTAGTACACATTGAAAATGATAACCAGTACACACTGAAGACCCAATCCTGTACACTATTTGTGTCTTCTTTGTGCACAGGCCATGATTGTCTGGGTTAACCGTTTCTGACTACAACATTAAGTCAACACAAATTCACACCCATGTGTACAGACCTTTTTCTTGGACTTTTACACAGCATTCTTTTGACCTGTCAACAATTTCATTGGACAATATATTGTTGTAAAATCGAGATCATTGGATATTGAATGGATATTTTTTCATCAAACTGTTAACCCCAATTCGAGGAGAAAACAATGTTTTGCATTGGCAACTCATTTGTTTGTGAACAAATCTAATGACAAAAGTCTGTCACAGAAATGGCTTACTATTACAATTTTTACTAATATTACGGCTCTGCTTATTATCAAGTCTTTAGTAAAGGTCTTCACATTTGGTTTTCCTGGACCTATTCAGACATGTCAGATGTTTTCCTACAGGCTATGTATCAGTTAGTCATGATTCAAGTAATTCTATTTGCAAATTATTATCGCATGGCTCTCAAGAATATGCCTCGAAACGGACTGACTGTTTCAAGACTGTTTAAGACTAACTAATTCGAATGTGCTTCATTTTCTTTGACGTCTGAAAAGAAGTCAACTCATTTGAGCCTACGCGATTTAGGAAACATTCTTGTAAGCTCTCTCAACATGGCTTTCTAATCCTCAACCAGTGCTGTTTGAAACGGACTAAAACCATTTTGTTGGGAATACATTGCAGGTCACGTGCAAAAGTTCAACAGGGTCAGCATCATGAACGTGATTCATGCCACCAACGGCGTCTTCTACGTCCTGAACGGCGTCCTTCACCTTCCAAGCAGCCCTATTGTGTGAGATAGAGCAGAAGTAACCCTGTGAAAGAGATGCAATACTGCATCATGTAGAATGTTAAAATAAAATTCTACTGCATCGGCCGTGTGTTTTCACCTCAGACTTATCAACTGCTGCTTTTTATCTTACAACATTTGTCCAAACACTAAATGTGCTGTACCTCAACTTGTCACATATCACCCTGCACTAAAGTCTTCTACACTAATTATTACATATGCTCAGACTCTAAATGTCAACTACTTTGATACAGTCAATATCTAACATTCTGTATAGACACATGGACAAAAGTTAAACACCCCCGGTATTTTTTTACAAAGCTGAATGTTTCGGCTAACATCAGTGGTGTACATGCACAGTACGTTGGTAAAGCTAAAGTAAAGGTGGTTAAGTTTACAGTCATGAGAGACACAGCTCCCACCATGACGGAATCTCCACCAAAGGCAACAGTTGGTTGAACATTTTTGCTGCAGATGCTGTATTTCGCTTCCTCTAATTTCACAAGCGTCCATGAGTTACAATCACCTTTCGTCAGACCAATGTATTCTTTGCCAAGTCCTGCATAGACCGTATGTTTATTACCTCGGACTTATCAATCCTTCCCCAAGCACTAAACGCTGCTTCTTAAATGATAACATGTGTCCAAACACTAAGTGTCAGCTACCTCAACTTATTATACATGTCCTTTCATCAAAGTCTTGACAATAATTGTTACACATGCTCAAACACTAAATGTCAAGCAGTCCTATTGTTTGAAGTAGAGCAGAAGTAACGCTGTGAAAGAGTGAGTGAGTGAGTGAGTGAGTGCAACAGGTAGAATGATGAAATACACTTATAATGTAAGTATGTTTTCACCCCGGACTTATCAATAGTACCATAGTACTAAATGTGCTTTTTCACTTACAACATGTGTCCAAACACTAAAAGTCCGGTACCTCAACTTATTATACATATCCCTACAATACAATAATTATTACGCATGTTCAAACACAAAATGTAAATAACTTAAACATAATCAGTGTCCAATATTCCACATAACTCCCAGTCATTTTTACAAAACGCAACAACTGCAATATATTTCTTATGGTGTAACACAATAAGTCGAAAATTAAATTTCTTCTGAATCATCGTTTCACAAATATCAACATACGTCGACTGAATGTCGTCTCCATAAACGAAGGACACATACCCCACACTCTGATACGTGAACGGCATAACTATGTATCAAATGGATTTGTATTCTTATGTATGACTTTATACGTTCAACGGAAACAACAGCTTGCCATACATTTTCCTCTATGACGTCACAGACGTTTGCGAGATTACACACGCCTGAAGACAAGGTGACATAATAAGGTCACCGTAACGCAGGTCATTTGGTGAGACTTTGCCGTGGATAAGGGCAACATATTTTCCTGATGTTTTGTTCACCAGGAGCCAAACCATTCCAATACGATCCACCATTATAACCGTATACATTTTCGTATCACAAATTGAAAGAAGTGAATTGTAGATTATTCAGTGATCTCATTATGAAATTACCAGCTTTCGCTAATCCCCAGCTATATGAAAGGTCCCATATATGTCGGTGTTTCAATCTGAGATCAGATTAGATCCATGTCTGTTTACACCATGCTCATACGTTTCACAAACGTAAACGTTCAACACTTCGGACTTTGTTCCCTATGGAGACAATATCGGTATATGCAAGCTGTTACTTAAGTTGCCGACTTGTACTGAAATCACTGAAGAATTGTTCAAAGAGCAAGGGATCAATAGACCGATCCAGTCCCCTCCGATAAGCCCCGCCCACTTCGTTTTTGACGTTAGGGGGACAACCCTGACTAATCACAATGGCGTCACCGAAACGTACATGATTGAGAACGTTGTTCATGAATTATGCTTGTGGTACTTTGGTAACCGTCGTTTGTGAATGATATTTATAGAGGCAAGTTATAGGCATGTGAATTTTAATATAGTTTAGTTGGCAGATTGCAATTGGCAAGTGAAAATGAGTTACATGCCCGATGAAAAATCGTTTGGGCCAGTTGCTGAGAATAGGAAGCGTATTTTCTTTCGAATCAATTAATCTATCTAGCAATTCACCTCCGTCAAAGATATCAGCAGGGGAAGGGTAACTGAATTTTGTTGCTTGGATATTTTCCCCAAAAAAATTCCATCATAATTTTATAAAAACCATGAACACATCCACATGTTCATGTTCCAGATCGTTTCGGCATCTATAAATAGATTGTCAACGTTGCGCGTGGCGCCTTTACTTATCCGTTGGCGTTGTTTAAACTTAGTTAAATAATCTGAAAACATGGGTGTCTATGTTTTAATGAATTAATAAATGGTAAATAAAAAGCAGAAAATATTTCCCGTTTACTACTTTGTGCACCTTGTTTGTCTGTATATAATTAATGTAAACAAATCAGTCACAGTGCGCAACTTAGTGAACTTATTTGGAAATCTGGAAAATGGGCTTGGGCTTGAAAACAGTATGTTTCCATGGATGTACTCTGGACATACCCAGAAGCAAATATTCAGCAGCTGATCTGCAGCAATTCTCAGTAAAGTTTCCCTCTTCAAAATCTGTACACTATCCTAAAATGACACTGAATATAAGGAAATCCATTTTTAAAAACCAACCTTTCCATTGTATTTGTCTATACAATGTATGTAGTTTGTTGTGGAATCCTAACTTACATACAGACTTCGACAATATTTGACTTCATAAACTACCAGCGTTCATGTACAGGTATGTCACAGCACCAGAACACAAAGAAGATCCAAGATACAGTCTGCACCTACTAGCAGACCCATCTTCCAGAAATAGGAAACCTGTGATGCAAAATCTTTGAACAGAGGATCCACAGTTATCCGAACAATTAGCTAGCATTGAAATAGAATGTTACACAAATTACAAAAATATTGCTTTTTTCTTCAGAGATATTTAACTGCTATAACTATTAGTGCAAATAAGGTGCAAAGAATATATCCTAACTTCAAAGCTTTTTGTCAATACAAATTCATATTGACATTATTGCTTCTTAAACAATGATAATCTTTGTTTTATTAGATCTACGACTATATCCCTAGAGGACATTTCTAAATTTTGATCTATTTCCTTTTCTGAGATACTTATTAGTGTCATCAAAATTATAATAAGGTTGACTCAAAATGTGGTAAAAGTCATAGCAAAAAGTTTAGGAAAACACATGAAAAGCGTTCACAAACCAGTGTGCAGTTTAATATGAAGCTCATGTTGCAAATAACCATCAACAAACTTGAACAATTTGTCCAAAACCAACATCTTAATAAACACTAGCTTTGGCTCAGTCCTCAAATATTAGTAACCTCCTCAAAAACTGATGATTTATAAGAAAAATTACATCAAATCTGGGTTAAATATATGTTTCAATATTTATTCCATTACATGAAAAATCAACTGAGATTTTTGTAAGTTATTCAGTGCCAGGACTGGATAATGCCTGACCAGGATGTGACCAAAACGTAGGGTTGTCTGGATGTTGGAATAACTTTGATGAGTTATGATACTAGCAATCACTTTCAGCATTATCTTATTAGTAAAAACATCTAAAAGCAGGAGCCAACAAACTATGTTAATACCAAGTGATTGTCCTGCCATGATTTGTATAGTGTTTGTTTGCCTAGTTCTGCCTTAAAAATCATATGAGTCTGATATGTCAATCAATAAAATAATTATTTATAATTGATTAGGTTATTATTAATTTTATTACCCTTCTACATTTACTAAAAAAAACAAGATTCTTAAAACATACCCTGCTATCATTTCCATTGAATTAAGCGAAATGACAGTTGCAATATTGCTCCTAAATTGTACCAATATATGTGTATAATTCTATGTTGTAACAAAACTTCAAATGTCCTCATAATTAAGATAATAATACACTTTATTTCATTCCGCCCAATACTACAGAAAGTCACTATTCTTCTCACATAGTTTTCGTATTCGATCCACATGGAGGAACGTAAGTCAATTCAAAGCCCCATCCATCTCTTTATAAAAATTCTGAAATATTTGAAGCATAGATTTATAGGCACTCATATGAATTAATTTTGATATTTGGATATTGCATGATAGGCAACTGCTGACACTGACAATATTTTCGTTTGAATAAAAAATTGTTACTCCTCGAATATTTTGCACTATTAACAAGACACTGTGCAGTAGGCCTTCAGATTGTGCTTTAGATACTTAAAACATCCTAAAATGTGTGACAAATTTAAGAATATTTAAGAGCGAAGGGAACCATTATCCGCCACATTGTTCTTTAATGTAACACGTTTTGCTCTTTCGGTCGACCCTAGAACCGAAATCAGATCGCTGTCAGATTTGTTTACATTGTGTGACGGCTTTCTCGCCCGTCTCATTTGAGCTTTATGGCGTACCAACTCAATGCCCAGTAGGGACTAAAAACGTTAAGCAAAAACAATTTTGTAGTTACAAGAATTGTCCGTGTTTATAACCCTTGCAAAGTCTTAAACTGCTATTTGTTGTCACCAATTGGTAATGATTACTGCACATGTGCAAAAGTGAGGAAATTCGTGCAAATTCTCATCTGCAGGCAGACGAAGGTTTCGTGAACGATGGTACAGACATTTAACTGATCGTTAGGCCTATCGCGCTCCTTGATCCGCCTCAATTCCTTTTGTCTTGACCATAATGGTTTTGGTAAAGGTACACATCAAATCGCAGCTATATGTAATAGATATAGCGAGTGTAAATGGCATAATTCGAAGCACATCGCTTCGGAGGCATCGTTTGAACCCGGAAATAAGTCTGACACATCCAAACAGCGCGCAAGTTTTGATTGACAGACTGGATCGGTCTATTAAGCCTCACTCACTCACTCACTCACTGTTACGAGAGTGGAAGGTAAGTGGATTGCTACGTGGCAGCATTATGACGACAGCACCGGTCGGCTTGGAGGCAGTTTGCTGTGTGTGGAACATCCTTCTATAACTGCAGCATAACGTCTCTTGAAGAGATGTGGTGTGAAAAGTCAGTTCACAAATTCAGAATTGTGTGTGTCCACCATTGACGTTGATCCTATAACACTTCCGCCACCAAACTGTCGAAGTTGAACAACGCACGCGTCGGCATACCGTTCACCCTTGCCCTGCCATCTGTGCAGTTCAGATGAAATCTCGACTCGTCAGTGACCAAAACACCATCCCAATCTTGTCCCCAGTACCGTAGATGCTGTCTGCACCAGGCAACACGTGTCTGTCGGTGACGTTGGAGCAAAGTTGTACGTATTGCAGGCGGTCGGGGTCGGATGTTGTACTCCCTCAGTCTGTTTCCTACAGTCCTGGAACTGATTGGACGTAAGCCAGGAATGGTCCGAGCAGTCAAACTGCCAGTCTGGATTCCTTAGATGGGTCAGTTGAATGGGATAGTCTTGATGTGACGTCACGCGTGGACGGCCGGTATGAGACAAATCCCATTATGTTGAAAACGTCTCCATAGAGATGAGACCGTGTTTCGATGGACACCAACATGTCACTTCATTTTGGGACATTCCAGTCTCCAGGATACCCACGGCGCGGAGACGCTGATTTTCTGTAAGCCGTGGCATGACCTGCGCGCAGTTTGGATTCAAGTCAACGTGTTTTCCACAACATTCAGAGGCGAGAGAGTAATCAACCGCACTTCAGTTTTTAATATCAGGTGTGTGAACTTCAGGTGTCAAAAGGCATGCAAAAAGTGAGGTAGTTCATTGTGCACAAAGTACTCGTGCCACGTGAGATACGTGACATCAAAGTTCATTCAAAATGCTTTGTTACATGATTATTCAGGATTATTTTTTCAAACAAATTTTTAAATATCTTCTGTTTTATGGAATTATGGTATGCACGTTTAAATGTTTCTGTAGGGGCGGTTGGGTAGCCTAGTGGTTAATGCGTTGGCTCGTCACGCCGAAGACCCGGGTTCGATTCCCCACATGGGTACCATGTGTGAAGCCCATTTCTGGTGTCCCCCGCCGTGGTATTCCTCGAATATTGCCAAAAAGCGGCGTAAAACTGAACTCAGTCAGTCAGTCAGTCAGTAAAGTTTTCTGCTAGTATATAACCGACATCAGTCCTAACTGGTACTGTGAAGCAGTTACTTAACTCTTCAACTCTACCCCCCAAATACTGTTACACAGGAAACATACAATGTCCCACTGTCCACAGCTACGAACTATCATAAACGAATGAGCATTTGATGTCGGTTGCACTCGTCGTGAACTTCAAGGTCACAACGCTTACCTGTAGGCTCTTGATGTCTGAGTCCGTTGCTTGTAGGGTTTTGAAGCCATCTACTTGCTACAAAGGCATGTGATAGCATTGCTGTGTGTGTTTGATTCATGGTGGCTGCTGTAGCTATTGAACACACAAATCAATGACTGAAATTATGAGCAATGATCAATATAACGCACACACAAAAACAACATGGTCGACTGTATCAAAAATATTTATAAAACAAGCACCGGGTGTAAACTAATACATCGGTGCGTTATACACTGGCTAGACAAAGAAACTACCAGGAGCAAAAGTATGTTAGAAATCGTATTTATAGACGAAACAATGTTCTAAAATCATGTTGGACCAATCGTACAAATTCACATGAACACCGTCAGATGTAAACTAATACACTGGCGAACAAAACACACTATACCAAGAGGAAAGTATAAGTCGGATTCTAATATCATGTTGGACCAATCGTACAAATTCACACGAACACTATCAGATGTAAACTAATACACTGGCGAACAAAACTCACTATACCAACAGGAAATTCTTTTATAAGTCGGATTCTCAAATTCAAATGCAAAGTTTGGTTTAGTTGACGGAACTCCCTATAAATATATTCTTTAAAAGTTCCACATTCAGTTATGCACAGTTAAATCCTCACACATTATCTTTCCTATGCATAAGTATAACCCCATGACTGTCGACTCGGTTTGGTGTTCAGAAATCATACTTATCGTAAGATGCACCTGAGAGGACAAGGTGATCAGGTTCACCGTCTTGGTGGTTGATGCACGCCATCGTATCTCAGTTGCCTAGATAGACGTTGATGATGTCAATCACTGGATTGGTCCAGACTCGATTATTTACAGTCCACCGCCATATAGCTGGAATATTGCCAGGTGCAGCTAACATTGTATTTTACCTGTCAGTGTGTTATAACTCCTTGCTGTCTATTTCAGTAGCATTTCACAGACGTTATTGTTTCTAGTCAAAACTGAAACATAGTTTAGTCAGTGTAAATGCGAATGTTTTATAAAGGTATGGTTTTAGGCACCTTTGTAACAACATTCCTGCAATGTCAGGTCTGATGAGTCGGTTTACAACCCGACCTGTAGTATTGTCAGTGTAGATAAGGTATCTCAAGAAATCTATGATAGTATGGTTTTGGACGCGTTTAGCAACATTCCTTGAGTAGGTGTGCGTGTGAATGAGGGGTGTAGGTGTGCATGAGGGGTGAACCACACCCACCGTGAGTCAATGTAACATAAGAACCGTACCTAACGTCTCTTATTATAATCTAGAATCACAACCAACTTCTCTATATTTAATATCAGAACCACACCCTCTTTCTCTTTATTTGATATCAGAGCCACATCCACCGTCTCTTTATTTGATATCAGAGCCAATCCACCGTCTCTTTTTTGATGTCAGAACCACATCCACCGTCTCTTTATTTTATATCAGAGCCACACCCACCGTCTCTTTATTTGATATAAGAGCCACATCCACCGTCTCTATATATGACATCAGAGCCACATCCACCGTCTCTTTATTTGATATCAGAGCCAAACCCACCGTCTCTTTATTTGATATCAGAGCAACATCAACCGTCTCTATAACTTATATGAGAACAAACTCCATCCACTCTTCATCTAATATTAAGACCGCCTTCTTTCATTTTTACTCTCATATCTGAAAGGTATATAGAGAAAACCATCACCGTCCAAAATTTAAAAAAAACAGCATCAGCCCAAACAAAACACTGTATCTAATATCAGAGCAACTTGCACCTTCTGTTTTTATAATATCAAAAACTACCTTCACCTTCTGTTTACTTATCATTGGAATTGTGTCCACCCATTCTTTATCTCATACCAACTCCACCTAATCTATATATATCTGACATGTCTCCTCCCTCTCTTTACCTAATGTCAGAACCATCACCCTTTCCAAGTTCAATATCAAAATGTTTCCATCGGCTTTTTATTTCACACCCGAAACACTCTACTCCATCCTTACATGATATCACATTCATCTCAATTCACTGCACATCACCCCAGGTCTTAGTTGATACCAGAACTCTCGGCTCTCACATTCAAGGATTTGTACAAGTTGTTCCAGTATTTGGAATTATGAAATACATGCATCTAACATGCGTTCGTTACAGAAAGATAATTCTAAATATATGTCGTGCCTTTATATACCGATTCTTATCAACCATGTGATTCTCTGGACCAATCAAACCACAAGATAAAAGACCAACGCAAGATAAACTTTCCGCAAGGCAATATAAAGACTGTTTTGACTCAGTTTCAGCAGTTGTTCCTGCAGAATGAAGACCCTTCTCATCAGCTTAGTGGCGGCCACGGTGCTCGGGGTGGTGATGTCTCTTCCCTTCCAACGGGACACACTTAAACAGCTCATACCTCTTGCCAAGAGCCTGGGGGCGACGAAGTTCGCCGACTTTGTTCACGAAGCCAACCTGACAGCTAACTTCACAAGGAAAGGTAATTCAATGCAGCTATATGACAGGCTTCGTTCAGAGTGGTTCAATGTCGATGGCATATCCATGTCAGTGTCGTAGATTTACTTTTGCCTGTGAAGATTATACAATACTAATACAGTCTGAAATAGTGTTGGGGAAAAGCACAATTAGGCAAGGTGATAAGGGATCTGCCACTTGTCAACACTCGCTCCTTTCTGTAACCTCGAAGAAGATTTGTCCATGATTCTTATGCGCGAAAATACGACAAACCAATGAGAATGCACGAAAGGAACTGGGCATGTGGATAACAAATTAACAAACTTATTTTACTTTAATATCCATCACATATGTGATATATTGACTGGAAGGTTTCTGCCCAAGTGCATACATCATAAATTCATATTAGCTCTCATCATCTTCTTAGTTGCTGTTCTTAGTTGCTGTTTCAGCATACTTTCAGGCTCCCCGTCCCCATTGTGTATGGTTGTATGCCAATCGTTTGCAGATAGATAAAATGATATAAAGCCTCAACATGGAATGTTTGATTGAAGTATTGCAACATAATGATAAAGTTAATAGTATAACATGATTTTCAGCGGCAGTGTTGTTTGCTTCAACAGAATGCACTTCAATGTAGTGTGTAATTATTGTTACTGTATATCAGTGATTCATTCAGATTCAATCCAATATAAACATGTGTTATTATGAACTATGAAACAAACACATGATTTAGTTTAACTAGTTGAGCTTAAAATCCAATAACTAAGAACCTTGACTAGAATGTCATTATACAGTCCTACAAAATTGAGACTTAGACATTTATGATAAATTGATATCATATGTCCCATGATGAAATAAACAAAAATAACAATTGTGAATTGTAAAATGGTCACTCAGACCCAGAGCCTCTACTAATAAGTCCAAAAGAAACTTATAATGTCACTTCCACTTGTAAAAGTTACATGGAAATCAAGGGCACAAATAATTCAAAGGGAGCTAACTCTGGATGACCCAATATATTGCAGAATCTGAACCATATAGCGATAATATCGCGAGATACTGTACCGATATCTACCGGTTTACCGGTAGTATTACATAGCCCTAGTTTTAATAAGAGATCAAACATTATTTGTAAAGGGAAACGTTTGCCATGGTTTTCTATGCTGGAATTATGCAATGGTTTACTGTAAAGGCTAGCTTCTTTTATCAAAACACGAAAATAAATGCTGATGGAATTGGTTTATCAAACATTAATAGACTAAAAACGAAAGATTTTACTGACGCAGTACACATTTTCAGGAACAAGTGGTTTCTTTGTGACAGATGCCTTCAGTAGGGCAGCCGCTCTCGTAGTTATCGAACATATGTTATATTTGCCATTTAACATCGATGCAAAGCATATGCGTATGAAACTTTGCTTCTCTTGTTGAATATGAGGCTATGTCGTTACTTGTTGTTTCAGCTGGGAACTTCACCCTGTTCGTCCCAGACAACAAGGCCTTCAATGTTCTGCCAAGAAACATCACAGGAAACAAGACCCTGCTGAGACAGCTCATCCTCTTCCACTCCGTCAATGGAACTTACAACAGATCCGAATTGATCCGAAACAAGAAACTGAGGACGCTGTCTGGAAGATTCCTGCACTTTAACCACACCAAGACTAAGGTAAGCAAGAAGGACAAATACTAAAGTGGAGATTCCAGTATTATTATCACACTAAGACCAAGGTTAACAAGAACGACAGAAAGTATATTGGAGATTCCTGTTCTTTAATCCAACTAAGACCAAGGTAAACAAGGACAACAGACGCTGATATGTGAATTCATTTACTTTAATGATATTTAGACCAAGGCAAACAAGAATAACAGGCACTTTTGAGTAGATTTCTCTGTTTCAACGACACAAATACCATACTGCACTGCCTTCCATAAGAACAAGGTACACAAAACTCACTGCAGATTTCGACCTTGGCCATACTGATTTAGAGCTTAGGCATTCTATTCTCTCCTTTTTTTCGTTAATGCAGGCAGTGTTCGTGAACGGTGTCAATATCACGGGATTCAACAAGAGAGCCTCCAACGGCTTCATCTTCCTTGTCAGCAAGGTCGTGCTAAACGGATCAGGACTGCTCAACACAACCAACAACAAAACGTCTGGACAACTCCGCCGTCAAGCATATGTCCTGTGTCGTAATGGCACTTTGGGTAGAAACTGCACTCACCTTGGCAATGGTACCAATGGAAACTTCACCCATAGCGCCAACACTGTCAATCGCCCAATCCAACATGCCAATGGCTCAATATGCATTAACGGGACTTACGGGAGAAACTGCACCAACCATGGCAACGGTACCCGTGGACACTTCACCAACCACCCAATCCAGCATGCCAATTTCTCAGGATGTATTAACGGGACTTACGGGATAAACTGCACCCTCCATGGCAACGCTACCAATGGAAACTTCACCAATTACCCAATCCAGCATGCCAATTTCTCAGGATGCATTAACGGGACTTACGGGAGAAACTGCACCCTCCATGGCAACGGTACCAATGGAAACTTCACCAATTACCCAATCCAGCATGCCAATTTCTCAGGATGCATTAACGGGACTTACGGGAGAAACTGCACCAACCACGGCAACGGTACCAAAGGAAACTTCACCAATTACCCAATCCAGCATGCCAATTTCTCAAAATGCATTAACGGGACTTACGGGAGAAACTGCACCCTCCATGGCAACGGTACCAATGGAAACTTCACCAATTACCCAGTCCAGCATGCCAATTTCTCAGGATGCATTAACGGGACTTACGGGAGAAACTGCACCAACCATGGCAAGGGTACCAATGGAAACTTCACCAATTACCCAATCCAGCATGCCAATTTCTCAGGATGCATTAACGGGACTTACGGGAGAAACTGCACCCTCCATGGCAACGGTACCCGTGGACACTTCACCAATTACCCAATCCAGCATGCCAATTTCTCAGGATGCATAAACGGGACTTACGGGAGAAACTGTACCCCCCATGGCAACGGTACCAATGGAAACTTCACCAATTACCCAATCCAGCATGCCAATTTCTCAGGATGCATTAACGGGACTTACGGGAGAAACTGCACCAACCATGGCAACGGTACCAATGGAAACTTCACCAATTACCCAATCCAGCATGCCAATTTCTCAGGATGCATTAACGGGACTTACGGGAGAAACTGCTCCCTTCATGGCAACGGTACCAATGGAAACTTCACCAATTACCCAATCCAGCATGCCAATTTCTCAGGATGCATTAACGGGACTTACGGGAGAAACTGCACCCTCCATGGCAACGGTACCAATGGAAACTTCACCAATTACCCAATCCAGCATGCCAATTTCTCAGGATGCATTAACGGGACTTACGGGAGAAACTGCACCCTCCATGGCAACGGTACCAATGGAAACTTCACCAATTACCCAATCCAGCATGCCAATTTCTCAGGATGCATTAACGGGACTTACGGGAGAAACTGCACCCTCCATGGCAACGGTACCAATGGAAACTTCACCAATTACCCAATCCAGCATGCCAATTTCTCAGGATGCATTAACGGGACTTACGGGAGAAACTGCACCAACCATGGCAACGGTACCAATGGAAACTTCACCAATTACCCAATCCAGCATGCCAATTTCTCAGGATGCATTAACGGGACTTACGGGAGAAACTGCACCCTCCATGGCAACGGTACCCGTGGACACTTCACCAATTACCCAATCCAGCATGCCAATTTCTCAGGATGCATTAACGGACTTACGGGAGAAACTGTACCCCCATGGCAACGGTACCAATGGAAACTTCACCAATCACCCAATCCAGCATGCCAATTTCTCAGGATGCATTAACGGGACTTACGGGAGAAACTGCACCAACCATGGCAACGGTACCCATGGAAACTTCACCAACCACCCAATCCAGCATGCCAATTTCTCAGGATGCATTAACGGGACTTACGGGAGAAACTGCACCCTCCATGGCAACGGTACCAATGGAAACTTCACCAATTACCCAATCCAGCATGCCAATTTCTCAGGATGCATTAACGGGACTTACGGGAGAAACTGCACCAACCATGGCAACGGTACCAATGGAAACTTCACCAATTACCCAATCCAGCATGCCAATTTCTCAGGATGCATTAACGGACTTACGGGAGAAACTGCACCCTCCATGGCAACGGTACCAATGGAAACTTCACCAATTACCCAATCCAGCATGCCAATTTCTCAGGATGCATTAACGGACTTTACGGGAGAAACTGCACCCTCCATGGCAACGGTACCAATGGAAACTTCACCAATTACCCAATCCAGCATGCCAATTTCAGGATGCATTAACGGGACTTACGGGAGAAACTGCACCAACCATGGCAACGGTACCAATGGAAACTTCACCAATTACCCAATCCAGCATGCCAATTTCTCAGGATGCATTAACGGGACTTACGGGAGAAACTGCACCCTCCATGGCAACGGTACCAATGGAAACTTCACCAATTACCCAATCCAGCATGCCAATTTCTCAGGATGCATTAACGGACTTACGGGAGAAACTGCACCAACCATGGCAACGGTACCAATGGAAACTTCACCAATTACCCAATCCAGCATGCCAATTTCTCAGGATGCATTAACGGGACTTACGGGAGAAACTGCACCAACCATGGCAACGGTACCAATGGAAACTTCACCAATTACCCAATCCAGCATGCCAATTTCTCAGGATGCATTAACGGGACTTACGGGAGAAACTGCACCTTCCATGGCAACGGTACCAATGGAAACTTCACCAATTACCCAATCCAGCATGCCAATTTCTCAGGATGCATTAACGGGACTTACGGGAGAAACTGCACCAACCATGGCAACGGTACCAATGGAAACTTCACCAATTACCCAATCCAGCATGCCAATTTCTCAGGATGCATTAACGGGACTTACGGGAGAAACTGCACCCTCCATGGCAACGGTACCAATGGAAACTTCACCAATTACCCAATCCAGCATGCCAATTTCTCAGGATGCATAAACGGGACTTACGGGAGAAACTGCACCCTCCATGGCAACGGTACCAATGGAAACTTCACCAATTACCCAATCCAGCATGCCAATTTCTCAGGATGCATTAACGGGACTTACGGGAGAAACTGCACCAACCATGGCAACGGTACCAATGGAAACTTCACCAATTACCCAATCCAGCATGCCAATTTCTCAGGATGCATTAACGGGACTTACGGGAGAAACTGCACCCTCCATGGCAACGCTACCAATGGAAACTTCACCAATTACCCAATCCAGCATGCCAATTTCTCAGGATGCATTAACGGGACTTACGGGAGAAACTGCACCCTCCATGGCAACGGCACCAATGGAAACTTCACATATAACGCCAACACTGTCAATCATCTAATCCAGCATGGCAACGGCTCAATTTTCCCCAACGGGACCTTTGGCGTCAACTGCACTTACGATGGCAACGGCACAATCTGCCCCAACGGAACCTTGGGTGTCAACTGCACTACGAATGGCAACGGTACTCATGGCAATATGACGCATGGCAGTATAGCACATGTTTTAACTCAGAGCTATGGTCAGTACAGCACCTTGATTGTGGACTTGATGAAAACTGGAACCTGGAGCGAGATCGAGAGTAAGTAACACATTTACTTCTTGAAGACAGAATGTCAGTCTTTGCTTTAACTTTGCCTTTGTTTCATTCGTTTTTCAGATTAACGTGTTCATTAGTATAAGCCACGGTAATACAACAATTCTGTCAATGCTTTAACTGAAACATAGCCTTGCCTTTGGGGCCAAACACGTATTGGTGAACATGTCTCTTCCGTGAGTACACAATGCCTATAATCTCCTCCTGTAGGACCCCAAGTGACCCTTCTTGCGCCGACCAATGCAGCGTTCAGCAGCCTCCCGACGGTCTACCGAAACAACCTTGACAAGCAGGCCAATTTTCTGAAGAGTATGTACACCTCTTTGTTTCATATTCCACAAAATATTCACACGTTACTTGACACTAACTGGGTATTTCTTTAATTTGTATTTACCTACACAAATAGATAAGCTGTATAAAATGACCATATCACACACAGTGTTGCAAGTTTGGGCGTGTTTTTTCAGGCACAATGATGTACCACATCTTGGACGGCATCCACGGCCCCGATTCTCTGCATCAGAACGACATGCTCACCTCTCTGGAGGGACACCGCATCCACGTCTCCATGCAGAACGGTGAGACACATATCATCAGAGACTAAATGAGACAGACGGAGCTAGTACAAATTGAAAATGATAACCAGCACACACTGAAGACCCAATCCTGTACACTATTTGTGTCTGCTTTGTGTACAGGCCATGATTGTCTGGGTTAACCGTTTCTGACTAAAACATTAAGTTAACACAAATTCACACCCATGTCTACGGACCTTTTTCTTGGACTATTACACAGCATTCTTTTGACCTGTCAACAATTTCATTGGACAATGTATTGTGATAAGATAATCGAGGTCGAGATCATTGGATATTGAATGGATATTTTTTCATCAAACTGTTTACCCCAATTCAAGGGGAAAACATGTTTTGCATTGGCAACTCATTTGTTTGTAAACAAATCAAATGACAAAAGTCTATCACAGAAATGGCTTACTATTACAATTTTTACTAATATTACGGCTCTGCTTATTATCAAGTCTTTAGTAAAGGTCTTCACATTTGGTTTCCTGGACCTATGCAGACATGTCAGGTGTATTCCTACAGGCTATGTATCAGTTAGTCATGATTCAAGTAATTCTATTTGCATATTATTATCGCATGACTCTCAAGAATATGCCTCGAAAAGGACTGACTGTTTCAAGACTGTTTAAGACTAAGTATTTCGAATGTGCTTCATTTTCTTTGACGTCTGAAAAGACGTCGATATATACCAAATCATTTGAGCCTACGCGATTTAGGAAACATTCTTATAATCTCTCTCAACACGGCTTTCTAATCCTCTCCCAGTGCTGTTTGAAACGGCCTAAAACCATTTTGTTGGGAATACATTGCAGGCCACGTGCCCCAGTTCAACAGGGTCAGCATCATGAATGTGATTCATGCCACCAACGGCGTCATCTACGTCCTGAACGGCGTCCTTCACCTTCCAAGCAGCCCTATTGTGTGAGGTAGACCAGAAGACCCTGAAGACCAGACGAGATGCAATACTGCATCATGTAGAATGTTGAAATAAAATTCTACTGCATCGACCGTATGTTTATTACCTCGGGCTTATCAACCGCTGCTTTTTATCTTACAACATTTGTCCAAACACTAAATGTGCTGTACCTCAACTTGGCACATATCACCCTGCACTTAAGTCTTCTACACTAATTATTACACATGCTCAGACTCTAAATGTCAACTACTTTAATATAGTCAATATCTAACATTCAATATAGACACATGGACAAAAGTTAAACACCCCCGGTATTTTTTACAAAGCTGAATGTTTCGGCTAACATCAGTGGTGTGTATCCACAGTACGTTGGTAAAGCTAAAGTAAAGTTGGTTAAGTTTACAGTCATGAGAGACACAGCTCCTACCATGACGGAATCTCCACCAAAGGCAACAGTTGGTTGAACGTTTCCGCTGCAGATGCTGTATTTCGCTTCCTCTAA